GCTTAAGATAGGTGTGGAGTGGCGTCAGAAGTAAGGCCTTTAAGTCAATTCGGTTCACGTCTTGAATGTCAGACAACTTATTGTTGACACTAATAGTCTTGAGTCCAGTCCTGAGGGCGAAGAGGAACCGGCACTGAATGGACTCGAAAGCCATTTCCATGACTCTGGCGTTCCTGACGATGGGATGCGGATACAGACGGTTCTTGTCCTTCTTGTCTATAAGCCATTCCAAGACTCGATAATTCAAATAATGATATTTCTTCAGAAAGTCACTCCAAGACTGCAAATAAAAGCCATTCGGAGAGTAAACAAAGACTCGCCACAAATCTCTGGAACCGCTCAGTATTCCTATCTTTTTGAGACAATCGATGCGATATTCAATGGCATTGGTGTTCATCAGAAGAAGTTTGGGCTCAATCTGTGAGACCACGTGATTGAAGTCAACACTCATATCGAAATCTATGTCTTCGGCGTTCACTTTATCCAATTGATTGGGTCGGAGGAGTGGCGCCTTAAGAGAGGACTTCCAGCAGTCGATGGTATCTCTCATGACTTGATCGTTGAGTTCATTTTCTTCGACAATATATCTGCCGATTGTGTCGACAATAGTTTGGCTCTGATTTTCAGTGAAGCCATATTCAGATAGCATTGACACCACTCTTTGGATCTTTGAATGTGTGAACCAATGGTCGTTTGAATGCAATTGTCTTCTCATGTCATGACTGATCCCAAGCAAAGAGTTTTTGACTTTTTGTGAAAACAAACGACAAATCGGTTTAAAAGACATTTCAATGAATTGTTTGCAAACAATGATCACATGTTTTGCTCACAAATGCAGTCATTTATGGAGCGAACCATTGATTAGAGTCTCGTATTTGTGGCAAACGTTTGCCTCTCAGACAGACTCACAGACAGTGAGACTCAGATACCACTGAAGGCTCGCAATACGTATCACTGAAATCCGGATCAAATGTCTTCATCGGCCACTCAGGAGTTTATTGTCAGAGTTCCCCGGTATTGAACACCTCCTCCCAGTTGTCACCAAACACTTGCACTCATGAACGCATTGTCTCTTTGTTTAGGGAAATGGGAAACAAGAAGTTTAATGTAATGCGCTTTGGATCAGCTCTTAATGTGGAGCCAAACAAATGGAAATCGTGTCAAATGTCTCGCGAGAATGATGTCAAAGACGTGAAGACAGACAATGAGCCGGAAGTGAGTGAATTTGGCGCCGGATCTGAATTCGGACGAAAACAGAGGGAAGAAATGAAACGAAAGAAATATATGAAGAGAGGCTCCGGAGTACAACAGCCATGGATTCTGAAGACTGGAGGCAAACTGGGCAAGAAGTATGTGTTTTATCACTCTATATACCACTTGTATTAAGACATACCGTCGCCGCAGATACAAAGGTCTTCGAGAGGGCGGTGTCTCTGAGAACGCCTCGTATTATGTCTTCTTTCAGGCGCCGGACGGAGCCTTTGAAGCGTTTCCCGTCAAAGAGTGGTATAATTTTACTCCTATTCAGAGATACAAAGCGTTGACCGCAGAGGAAGCCGAAGAGAAGTTCGAAAAGAGGGACAAAATATTGAATTACTTTTCGGTTATGATTAACAAAAAGAGAAAAGACGACGAAATGGCAGACAATAGCAGCGAATCCAAGGCTAAGATGAAGAAAGAGTTGAAAGTGTCGGATATGGATGACTGGCATGACTTGGACTCTGACAATGAGAGAAGCGATTTGAATAACAGCGATGAAGACGTCAAACCAAAGTCAAAGAAAGACAAGAAGGGATCGAAAGCCAAAAAACCCATGAAAAAGAAGAAGAAGAAGGGATCGGATGACTCGGACGACAGCGAACCACTGGAGGAGAGCGATGAGGGAGACTTCGACGACAAAGAAGTGGATTATATGTCAGACTCTTCTGACAGCTCTGAAGAGTCGGAAACTGAGAAAAACGACAAACAATTGAAAGGAGTTGAAGACGAGGACGCCTTAAGACAACTGGTCTTATCTGAGGACGAGGACGAAGAAGAGGAGGACAAAGACGAGCAGAAAGACAAAGACAATGAAAAGACACAAAATGGAGACAAAAGTAATGCAGAAGCGGACAAGAAATCTAAATTCAAAGATAGACTGACAGGTGAGTGATAGGAAGGCAACAGTTATTTGAATGTATGATTAATTAGTATCGTTTCGATCGATAGCTAACTTCGATTCTCCGCCGCCTTCGTCGTCGGACTCTGACTCAGAAGACCCGGATTCAGTGGACGACAAGAGGTCAGCCCTATTAGCGCCCGTCAAACTAGAGTCCGACAAAAGTAGTCGCGGCAGCAGTCGATCGGCCACTCCTACCGCTAACTTGGAGTTGGGTTCTTCATCCAATGGAGTGACGAGTGATTCAAATAAATTGAAGAGAAAGATATCATCAAACGATTTGTCATCAAATCTAAAGAAACCAAAGCTTACGAGCGATAACTCCGAAGGCATTACTGAAGAAGCAGTTCGTCGATACTTAATGCGAAAACCGATGACTTGTACTGATTTGCTTCAGAAGTTCAAGAATAAGGTCTCACAAAAAGGCAATTTGGTTCACACTATCGCTCAGATATTGAAGCGATTGAATCCCGAGAAGCAAACCATCAAAAATAAACTCTATTTCTCACTCAA